AGGAGGGTGATTACTGAATGTCTAAAGAACCCACACTGTCTGCCTTAGATTTTCATTTCTTCAGGGCAGAGGAATGGCTGTTTGGGGATGCTGAAAGAAGCCAGCATTCTTTCGAAGTACTGATGAATGAAAGGGGAAATAGTTGTTGTAAACTTAAGCAAGGAGGGTGATTACTGAATGTCTAAAGAACCCACACTGTCTGCCTTAGATTTTCATTTCTTCAGGGCAGAGGAATGGCTGTTTGGGGATGCTGAAAGAAGCCAGCATTCTTTCGAAGTACTGATGAATGAAAGGGGAAATAGTTGTTGTAAACTTAAGCTGCTTTGTACATGATGAAGGCTTGTGCAGCAGCAGATTGTCTGTAAACAGCAAGGACAATATAGAAGACTTGCAACATGGAACATAAACCGTACCCGAAAAAAGCGAGAAGGGATGCTCTTTGATCTTGAAACCCCATGAAGATCTGTCGCTTCAAATCTGACAAAATGTATGCTGTCTTTAGCCATCTGTTCAATAATGTGTTCAATCTCAGAGACCAAGTGATAAGGGATGTGTTTTCCAGGGGGTTTTATATCTGCATTTCTTCTTTGATCTTAAAAAAGAAAAGAAAACATCCTTGATCACAATAAGCTAGGGGTTACACATTGGCCATCACACTGTACAAATTCAGTATAGAGCTAGGTGCACTTAAGCACATTGTTATCCTTGGCTGTCAGTGCTCCTAAGTCTACAACAGATGATGGACTGACTGTCCAATATTATGCAGAATTATACCCTTCTAAGCATGGGAAGTGAAGGACAGTGCAACATCTCTTTGCACCAAGTACAGCAGTACTGTAGAGGAGACAGTAGAGCTAGTAAGGTAGACAGGTTAGATCCTTCTGTCTCCTTTCTTCTTGATCTATGAGGATAGGATATATAGCAAAAAAGAAGTGCCAAGAGAAAAGTGGCAATTCCAGTCCAACAAATTTTAAATACGCCTCTTCAAAGATGGAGGTGCGGGCAGCCAGATTTTATCTCATGTTGTCTTTTGCAGCCATCAGGTGGTAAAACTTAAATGCAATAAGGACCAAAGACATATAGTGAGTGAATTGTTCTTCTGATAGTGTGCTCTGGACAAGCTGCAAAAAACAGTCTAGGGCTGCAGTCACAAGCACCAGTTGAAGTGGAGGGGAAGTGAGGCTATTTCCCCTGGAGGAATGTGACACAGTTGTGAGATCATACCTCCCTTTGTAGCTGTGGGCGCAGCCCATCACTGTGTGATCAGACGGAACTGCAGCTGAGTCAGGGGGGTTGGCCCTTTGTTTCCTATGCACATAAATGAGGAACACACAGAGGGCCCCCTATGGAGTATGCAATGATGCGCATACTGCGAGGGGGGGGATGGCACCGAGCCAGGATGGCATGGTCAGACCATCCTGGCAGCATGAGAGTGTGCTGGCGTGATCAGAGAGGGGAAAGTCTGTCCGTGGCCCATCAGAACCCATTATAGCTGGACTTTTCCCAGTGTCTTTTAACTTCACTTCTGCAGCAGAGCAGCATGGGTTGCCGACAACTGCAAGATGCTTCCCAGATGTTGCTGCCTGATCATTCCCTTTAGATCCATCAGGCATCCACACCTATGTCAGTTCTAAAGGCACGTGTGATCACAGCCTAGCATTGGGCTCCTAGTAGCATTCAATATCAGAATTCATTGGACCTCTTCACACAAGTTAGTTTCCTTGGGATTTCTACCCTTGGTACTAATTAGATGTGTCACCCTTTTTTCTCCCTAGAATACAATCCAAAGTGAAGTTGGAGGATCCTGGTTAGGAAAATATCTTTAGGAATTTCAAAACATAAATAATTTCAAGGAAACTGCTACATTTCTTTGGGGAATGTCACAAACTAATTCTACACCAATTACCACTGTGAAGAAATGCATCCCCCCCCCCCCGGGAGGTTTGAGATGAGCAAAGCCTCCAGTTTGCATTTCAACAGTTTTCCCCCCCTCTAGGCAGAGACCATGCTGGGAAGGAGAATGTCTGTCAATGGCTTTGCAGATGCACCTCGGCTACCTCTTAAGAAATGTTAACGGGACTAAATAGAGACAATGGGATGGCCAAGCTCCTTTCTCCCCCTTTCAAGCAGGGACCAGATGTTTGGAGGAATGGAAGGCTAGAACAGGTCCAGGAATAATCTCCAGGGAGAAGCCCTAGGAAATGCTTCTTTGACCTGGCATGACCTGGTCAGTGGGTGAAGAAACAGATACGATAAAAATTCCTTGGAAGGAGGTCTCTTTTCCTTGGGTGCTTTGTCCAGGAACTCACACAGACCTCTCCTCTGGGAAGGCAGCCATTGGCCATGTGCTCACCTCAATAGCTGGAGCAAGCTTCAAGGTAATGGTTACTCTATAGGGATCTGTAACATCTTAAGAAAAAGGGGCCTGTCCTACTTTAACATCTGATAGGGCATGTATAGAGAGTAGGACAGAGGAATTGTATTTTACCCATTTCTTTTGAATGTCTTGCTCAGTTTGGTGCTGTGTTAAAAGTATGCTTGTAAACATTTTCTTTTTAATAAATACTTTATAACTTTTGATGCTGGTTGTGGTTTGATGTACCACATAGACCTCCACCATCTCAGACACACTTTTGAAAAAGGTGAACCAGGGGGAAGGCAGGCAGTTGGCAAGTGGCCACCCCTCAAGGGGCGTGCAAGACAGTAAAATGTCCCTGTAGCAACCAGGCATTGGGCCTTGGGAGACACAGAGGCAAGGCCTCAGAACTTGGAAGGGAAACTGGGAGTCCTGACCCTCATAGCAGGCAATTCAATACAAAGGGTCAGGTGGTGACAGTAGGCTACCCTGAGAATGAAAGAAAATCCCCTCCACAAGTGGAGAAACACCAAGGAGGGCAGGACGGAATAGGGCCTGTAAGCCAGAACAGGCAGTTCCTCCACAACCACCTAAAGCAAAATGTAAGTTGAGTGTAAAGTACCAGGTTTAGGCAAAGCATCTGCCTGAATTTCAATAAGATGACAGTGGAGTTATGCCCACTTTTAGGGTGAATTTGGGGGTGGAGCCTAGGGTGGGCAGTTTGAGGTGAAGAGGGAGCACAGCAGAGATGTGTTGCCATAGAGCCACCCGCTGAAGCGGCCCTTTCCTCCAGGGAAGCTGATCTCTGGAAATCAGTTGCAATTGTGGGAGAACTCCAAGCCCCACCTTGAAGCTGTTATGCCCATGTCACTTAGCTTTAGTAGTGTTGCCTTCCACCCAAAAGAAAAGGAGGACCCCCATGGAAGCAAAGTGCTTATGAAAGCAGAATGTGCCCTCATTGACTCTACTGAGTAATAACACATGGATGGAGCAGACAGGCTCCTGAGTAGTCCATATATGGGGGAAATTTAAACTGTGCATTCTGCATGATTAACAGAACTAGTATTGAGATCCATATATAAAACTGATTTCAAATGCAAATTACAAATGATGACTCAGTAGTAGATGCATCAGACACATATATCACAAAAAACTCTGTGTTGGTAAAACAATTCAATAATACATAGAGTCTGAATTCTAAGTCAATAACATTGCAAAAATAACTGATGAACTTCTAGTTAATCCAAGCCACACATTCTTGCTGTCTCCAAACTTTAGAGCTCAGCTAGTTCCCAGAAGGGGACTACTTTATCCTTACCCTGAACATTCAAAACCATTTTAAAATCAGCAGCAAAATCTCTCTGGGAACTGGCAGAAAGGTCTATTGGTGATGTAACAGGTACTAGCCAGTAGATATCTACCACAACATGCTTTTCAGTAATTTGGTCTGAACTACATTCAAGACTTACTACTCCATTATTTTCCAGCTCACAGACCAGACAAAAATGTATGGATTTTGAGGGCAGTAATGACACTATCAAGCTGCTTCTGTTCTACTTAAAATGTTAATGTCTATCTTCATCCAAAGGCATGTTGCGTGGCTGTTCTTGAAGAAAACTTTCACCTTACCTTTCAGAATTTCCAGAAACTGCTGCTTCTACTAAATTACAAGAAAATGTCTACCATCTGTTTTTGGGTATAAGTAAATTATTTTGTGCATAATTTGCAGACAGGAAATATCGGCATATTCAGCAGAAACAAAATCCCACTTTTCTCAGAGCAACCTTTAGCATTTATCAAACCATCAAGAAAGGGGGTTGTTGCAATCAAACAGATAGGTCATTTGTTAACTATGAAACTGTGGGCAAAATTATACTACATTTGATGCTCTGTAAGGGCAATGACATGTTTTGAGACTATTAAAAGCACATCAGCCAGTGGTGGTGTGGCCATAAGTTGAATTTGACCAGAACTCAACTATGTGTTGTCTGTTTTTGTTGACCCAGAAAGCTGGTTTGCATCTAGGCCTTTAGAGACTGGACTACATATGTCTTGCTTCCTCCCACCACAGAACAGAATGAAAGCCCTATACACGTCAGTTCTTCCTGCCCATTCCTAGGGCCTTGTTATACAGCATAATGAAAGGGGAAAAAGAGGACGTAATGTGATTTCCATGTACACAGAACCATTCTAGGCTGCAACTCCATTGTTTCTAGGTTGCCAGCCCCCAAGTCCTGGCAGGGGTTCCCCTGGTCCTGGGGGTTACAATCTGCCCCCAGCCAGCTGGCCACTGGGCAAGCCCTGCCCCTGAAGCCCCACCCCCAAGCTGCAGCTACCCATGGCCATCCCTCTCCCTCCCTGCTAAAAGATTTAGAGGGCTTCAGCTGATCAGTGGGGAGCACATGGCCCACTGACCAGCTGGAGGGCCCTTTAAATCTTTTAGCAGGGAGGGAGAGGAACTGTCACTGGCCATGGCTCCACTGGCAAAAAGAGCCTTTAAAGGGTCTTTTTGCCAGTGGGGTGGGGGCCACAGCATGTGTGGGACTCATTTCCCAGTGGTGATTCAGGCCTGCGCACGGCCACCCCACTCGCTGCAAGCCCCTCCTGCTTGTTGGCAGACCACGTGCTCCCCGCCAATCAGCTGAAGCCCATTAATTTTTTTAGCAGAAAGGGAGGGGTGGCAGCGGGTTGCCATGGCTTGGGGGCAGGGCTTGGGGGTATCCCCACAAACCACCAGAATGCTCCCCAAATTCCCCCCCACCAGATTGACAAAGAGACTTTGCAACCCTAATTGCTTTCCAAGGAAAACATCAGATCATCCAGTAGTTGCTGTATGTGCTTTCCCCATGCAAACTGTGCTACTCACATTAAACCCAAAATGCCTTGGCAACAGACTGCACATCATAGCCAGTGTGGCTTGTGAGAATCAAATCTTTGTCCTTAGTATGCTAAGGCCCATCCAGAAACCCTATGCCACTTTCTGATTTTACTTCTGCTGTATGTTGAATATTGGTGTTTTACTCATTGGTTATCCGGATTATTGTTGTGTACGGCCTTATTTGTTTATGCTAGTCTTTATTTATGAAAGTAATTATACCTTGCTTTCTGTCTAGTGCAGGGGTGGCCAAATTGTGGCTCAGGAGCCACATGCAGCTCTTTCACACATATTGTGTGGCTCCCAGCAGGACAGCTGGAGAAGCGAAGGGGAGGCATACCTCCCCAATCAGTCTTCCCTTCCCAAGCCAGTGTTCCCCTCCCTGGGTAGGCTTGAGGTGGGGGGGGGAGCAGAGAAAGAAAGCAACTTTAAATGTGTTCTCAAAGCTCCCCCCCCCACGGTCCATCTGGGGGCAATTTTGCACTAGAGCTCCCTTGCAGCGCAGCCGCCATTTGCCCTGACACAAACATGTCAATTTCACACCCGAAGCTGCGGGGCTGCATTTTGACTCGCGGCTTCGCCCGATTTCCTCCGCAGTTTCATGATCCTGGTTTTTGAGGATCACGAAACTGCGGAGGAAATCGGGCGAAGCCGCGGGTCAAATGCAGCCCCGCAGCCTCGGGTATGAAATTGACAAATAGTGTTGGGGCAAACGGTGGCTGCGCCGTGAGGCAGCTCTAGTGCGAAATCGCCCTGTGTGTCTCTGTCTCTCTCTTACCTCTTTCCTTCCTTCCTCCGCCAGCTATTTTCTTTCTTTCTTTCTCTCTCTCTCTCTCTGTCTGTCTCCCTTCCTTCCCCCCTCTATTTGCTACCTTTGTTTTTCACTCTCTCTTTTTCTCTTTCTTTCCACCTCTCTGTCACACTGTTAGACAAATAAATATCATTAGCAAACAAATAAGTATCATTGGACAAATAAATATCATTATCAATATCTGGTTTTACTCCTTTTGTTTTTATTTTTGGCAATCTCATTTAATGTAATAAAAATGAAATTTGCATATTTTTCAATAAAGATGTGTGTGTTTTTTGTTCATTTCTTGTGGCTCTCAAAACCTCACATTTATTCTATGTGACTCTTACATTAAGCAAGTTTGGCCACCCTTGGTTTAGTAGGAATCAAAAGTGGTTTACATTGCTCTCCCCTTTCCATTTCATCTTCCCAACAACAACTCTGAGAGGTAAGTTAAACTGAGAGAGAGAGACTGACTGGCCCAAAGTCACCCAGTGAGCTCCAGTTGCAGAGCAGAAATTCAAACCTGGATCTTGCAGATCCTAGTCTAACCACTACACCATCCTGGCTGTCCTTTTAGCATCCATTCTTTCATCTTATGAAGAAAGGCAACTCACAAACCTATATGTATGCAATAGAAACAAAATAAACAAAAATTTTGCTTTCCAGCTGATTCCATACCTTAAGCATACACAGAGGGTCTAAGTTTAACATCCTTACCATGCTGACTAGGAGGAGGGTCCAATTTAATTCCTGGAGTACTGCCCGCATTTTGGGAAGATGTCTGTTGCCTCACAACAGGATGCTCCATGTCATCAGTTTTGGACTGCTGCTTATTCAGCCCAGCTGAGCTGTGAACCAATTGTGGCTTCCCTAGTTGCCCAGCTACATCCTTGTGCTCACTTGGAATTTTCTGATCACCTCCTCTTAAATGAGGGTGAAAAGTCTCAACATGTCTACTTTGCTTATCACTAGCATTCAGCAGAAGTGCACGGGAAAACATACCACTGGGCTTACCAATATTCCTGGCCCTAGTACTAAGCAGAGGGCTCTCTCTCAACATGTTTTTCAACTCTTGCAAAGTTTCTTTGGAAATTCCAGAACCTGGAGCATCTTTAGTGTCTTTTTCTAGAGTTGCTAAATTGTCATGTTTGTTCTTCTGGGTCGTGTGGAGTCTACTGTCACCCTCAGCTATACTAGGTCTCTTTTGATCATTTGTTGATGTCCCCGCATTCTCCCCACTTCTTGATATGTCAAGCCACACAAGTTTCTCCTCTTTGGTATTTATGTCTGTCCTCAGTGTCTGATTTCCTTTGCTTGAAGTTTCCATTATCCCATGATTTTCTGGGCTATTTTCACGTGGTCCGCCATCTTTGTGTTTCTCCTCTCCACCCTGTGTTGAGCTTTCTTTTTTATCTCTGGAAGAGCTATCACTTGCTTTCTGCCCTGGTGGGAAGCCAGGTGGTTTTCTAAGGCAATGGTAATCAGGCTTGCTTTCTTCGGCCAGAAGATCAGAAGCATTGGCAGGATTAGAAGTGTCCATTTTGTCACATTCTGCTGGGGGGATCTGTTTTACAGTGACTTTGACTCCTCTTTTGTTCCTTAATCCAGACAGACAGTTGCCATCAACTTCCTCATTTTCATTTCCAGCTGTCCTCTGTAATCATCAGCAAATATCAACAACATGCACTAGCCAAATGAAGCATTCACATAGCGCTGCCACCTTTAAACCGTATATTTCATATAACTTCTGTGCTCACCCAATGAAGTAACTCAGCAATGCAAAAGCAAAGCATCTTATTTGTCTCAATACATTTCAGAATACGAAATTGCAAAAAGAAGAAGAAGAAAGGGTAAGACGTAGACTACAAATTACTCAAGGCCCTTCCTTTTGTTTAATGTTTAATATAATCCATGAAGGTATAACATCAGAATCCCTTATCTCTGTTCTTTTCTCATGCCTTTTTACCTGGAAAGTGATGGGTAATATAATAATTCACTGCATTGATAGGGCAACTCAGATTGAACATCAAATGACCTTCATTCTTTAAACCAGAGCTCCTGGGAAAGACAAACTTTCCTGTCAGTTTTATGGTAGGTTCCCCCCCCTCCCATAGAAAACTTTATCCTTCTCTCTTTTGTTTGAGCACCAACCTAAATCCCTGGTACAAAGAAAATATTTCTTTGCACTAATTCAAAACAGATACTGCTTACACTGTTCTTTCCTGCCTTCCCAAAGCTGTATGGGACAGT